GGTGACGTCATGACTTTGAGCTTCGGCGGTTTTACAACCAGTGCATGAGAGCCCTCAGGCCTACTTTTAGTTTCACCCAAAGGGATGGGCGTATAGGGCGTGATCTACACCCTCTCCTGTGTAGCTATATACTGTTTTTTTTATATAGGGATAGATATACCATCTACAGTTGTCTGTAGGTCTAGTTTTCGTTCAAAGGGCACCAAGTACATATCGAGAACATCTTGCACAAGACAATTCCAATCGCAAAGGATTAGATCCAAACAATATACGGCTTGCCTTTTCCTCCACTTTGCATCAAAGCGTCTCAAATGAAACCTGAGTTTACTATCAAGATTTATGAAATCTTGTTTTGATCTGAAGAAAGAAGCAAAAAAGGAAGACAGAAGTAGTTAGTAAATCAACCAAATACAATAGCCGACTTGCGAATTACGCATCAATAGTCACATACAAAGGAATCAAGACGAGGCGCCGTGCTTTTTTGTGAAAAATCTAGTCTTTAGCACGGCGCTTCGTCTTGATTCCTTTGTATGTGACTATTGATGCGTAATTCGCAAGTCGGCTATTTAAGAAACATACGTCTAGCAAAGTTTGCACTATTATGCTTTGCGCGCCTCTGTTGTTATGATTTACACCAAAATATTTTTAGTATCCAAATATCACCATAAAACGAATGTCAAAAGGTTGAAACCCCTAATATTAGCGTTTAAAGTGCTTAGAAAAGTGAGATGGTCAAAGATTCGAAACGCAGCTACTTTCGGTAAACTTTCGGTAAATGGCCGATTCCAGACCCTCGCGGCCCCCAAAGCATAATGGTGCACACTAATCGCTTTATGAATCATTTATAATTAATAACTTGTAATCGCAAATAATCAATATTTAGCTATGTAATTGTAATCAAAGAAGTGTATATTCTTATTGTTGGAAATAAAAGCGAATTATAATCATTATTGCTATTATTATATGTACATATTGTTCAACTTTAAATTTCTATTATACAGTAAATATATTTACCTTGCAGTGACGCGAGGCGGTTAAAGAAAGGAATAAGTCCTTGTTTAAAAAATTCCTTTCGTCTTTTTAAAAGATATCTAAAATATTATAAGAAAGAAAAGAAAAATAGGCAAATTAGCATCTGGATTATTGAATACCCACTGTGCAATAGATATACTAACCTTGCATAGCGAGAAGAATTCTAGAACTCAAAATATACCGACACTTTGTAGGAAAACGCAGATACATTTATTCAATAGAAGCTCACACACTGAAGTAAATACACTCTATTTCATTCAATAATCAACAAAATATTGGAAATCTAAATGAACATCGAATATTATCAATAAACTCACTTATATTCGTATCGCAATAAAATGTCGAGCTCTTTTGTAAAACAACAACAACAACAACAACAACAACAACAACAACAACAACAACTTGACAAAAAGCGAATGAGTCCAGATCTGAAGAAGGGCAGGTGTGATCAAGCTCAAGAAATGCTTCCCTCCGAGATCCGAGATCTTGCCAAGTATCAATTCTCTATAGTATAACAGATCGACTAGTCAGATGATTGACTTTTACATTTATTTCATTTTTGAACTGCACTGTACCTAATAACACCATGCTAACTGTCGTTACTTAACAAACTTCTTTCATAATCAATTGCGTAACACCAAAATTCTGCACTTTAACTCAAATTTCCACAATTCAAATATTTTAAAACATTAAACACCTTGATGTAATTTAGACAGTTTTCTTAATCAACTCAGTAACACCAAAATTCTGCACTATAAATTTAGCTATCACATATAAACGAAAAAACATCTCGTACCAAGAACCCACACTTTTGACAATCAGCGGAAGTCATTGTATAAGCAGACCGCTGCCGACTTTAGCCGTCATGACTCTGGGCTCAAGATTGCAGCAAAGAAGAAACAGGAAAACTCTTGTTCTGAGGACTTACGCAGTATTCGAATTTCATAAAATGGGATTATTCCTATAATAGTTTCAAGATTACCTATTGGGCTGTAAGAACAATAGCCGTAATGCACTTCTAACGTTATGACGTCATGCTGCATGAGCAGAGTGCATCATGGTATTAACTAATAGAATCAAGATGGCGGAAATCTTTTACAAAAACTAAGAAATACGAAATTTTAAAGTAAAATTTATGTTACCTGTTGTAAGGATATTTAGGTAAAAAACTCTAAAAAGATGGTTCTGCACTGTAGTACACTTTAAACACAAGACCGAGCAATTTGTAATATAATGCTTGCAAAACAGCATGACAAATTAATCCGACTGCAAAAGGCAACAATGGCATGATGGGAGTTGCAGTCCTCGCYCTTTTTATAGTCCCTAAAGGCCTTCTTTATGTCTTCCTTGCAGAAAAGGCACAACCAATTTTGTGTTTACGGCTTAGGTGTAATGTTTTAGTGGACATTAAAAAATGCGAGGACTATAACTCCCATCATGCTTTGCTTGTRTTGGCGTCGCATCTCTTGCCAATCCCATGTGTKCACCCYAACRAACATCGCATGAYGTMATAACRAAAARGGACCATTCCAGCTTAGTGTTGTACAYCTATATTCATTTTGTAGTTACGTAAACCATTTTTACATCGAAGAAATTATGAGCCTGCCATATCACCGAGTCCAGCGGTCTTCCTTGCCTTGTGMAGTARCGCTCTTAGCATGAACTGCTTTCGAGAGAGTGCTCTTACATGCTGGGAAGACAGAAAATGTTTYCATTAATAAAGATAAACAAGTGAARATGCAATGTAACTGTACTGTTTTTCTTAACTTACTTTCAAGAATACATCGAGATCAATGGATTCTTTCCTAAGAGATTCACTTAGATAGTAGATGGTATCTTCTACAGCATTTTCTTCAGCAAAAAGATTTAAAATCCTGTGGAAGTGAAACACAYGCAGAGAAATTAAATGAAGGGAAAAAACAGAAAGGAAAAGATGAAAGAATACTAAGAATGCATACATTTTTCTCTGCATAAAGCAGTGAAAACTCTGGAAAGATGAAAATCAAGGAACAAATTGCAAAACAATAAGCTTGTGAAGAGACGTCAGATTTGGCATTAAAGTACAATAAAGTTATTATTCTTCGCACTTTTTCAAGTCTGCTAAAACAGTATTCCTATAGGAAGTTTTTGTTTAACCATTGCGCCGTTTCTACATACAAAGAAACATAAGAAATTACTCAGGGAGATTTAAAAAAGTAGCTTTGTGTTTGTAAAGATATGGTGCAAGTTTGTAGTCGACATTGAAAAGTGCGAGTACATTTCCCATCATGCTGTGCTGTACAAAATGGCGTCGGCCAACAGAGCCTTATGCTGTTGTTTTGTGCTTCATGGTAAAAAAAAGTCAACTAGTACATACTGGTTATACAAAGGTGCTGTTGTAACCACTGCTTCGTCAATATTTAAATTTTCCGATTCGCTTTGAAGTTTGTTGATGACATCAGAGATTTCTTCATTCTTATTGGTTAGTATGTTGATGTTCTTCTCAACATCAGCCTAAAATAAAACAGATAACTTGAAAATAAATACAAATGGAAAATATAGAACAACTTAGATTTTTTATCTTTATACATTATGGTTTAACATAGTTTAGAACTTGTTAGTTCTATAGCAGGTCTCGCCTTGCGCCTGCACAATCTGATTCTACATGTACATGTACATACCCTCCATTATTATGGACACTCGAGTAAACCTATGCTCCCTTTACAGCGAACATTCGTTAATGCGGACACGCAAGTACAGTCTCGAAGGTGTCTGCTGTAACGAGGGTTGAGCGTACGTTTACGAAAATACAGTCAATTGTCACCTTCYGTACCCTCTGTTATTACGGACAGAAAGGAAAAAAAACTCTCTTCACAGYGGACACTCGCTATTGTGAACACAGAATTCCAGCTCTGAAGGTGTCCGTTTTAACTGTGGTTGAGGATAAATGCAAACATTACCTGCTCTTCTTCTAGTCTTTTAATCATCTCTTCTAATTTGCTACTGCCTTGCCTCAGCTCTTGTTGTGTTTTATTCAGTCCATCAAGCTCCATCTGAAATCATACAAAATAGAACATCAAAGACCYTTGTTCAACCGGTATTCAATGCGGTCTTGTTTTAGATTTTCATATATCATGGAAAATGAGGCRACTTCAGATATCCATTCGCAATCCGTTTCCATCTGTAGGTCATCTGCAGATCTCAAAAAAGGGCTCAACTGTACTACTCTATGATCTTAGCTGTAGTTTATGAACATTTTTAACATTGTATATAATTAATACATGTTCAATTACAGTACTTAATTCCTAAATATCTTACACTAGATCCTTGAAGTATGACTGGAATCAAACTAAGACCACAAGCATCTCTAGAACAGTTTTTTCCCTTTTCTATGCCCTTGGGCTACCTGTTTTTTTATAAAMCTTCAGGGAGTTATGGGACAACCTCATTGCCAAGGCTTCCCTGTTTGCTTTTTGAAAAAACCCTGAGAACAATGTTGGATTATGGGACTACACTGTACATCATGCCCAGGTCCCAAGGCAAAAGGATRCAAGAGGGATCCCAAAAGGGCAAAATGAAGAATTTMCAGCAGAGGRGCCTACTTCTAATACATGATTCAGACCTTTGATTCATGTAGTAAACAAACCTGAGCTTGGTCAATAACAGGTTTAACTCTTCTTCTCAATTTGCCTTCTATAGCAGACAGCAGTGAGGCTTTCAAAGTATCATCTGGTATGCTTGCCTGCCGACTTGTTTGTAGCTGCTGGTTGGCTACTGGTGAGCTGTGACTGGTGGGTGCAGCTTGGGAAACAGGGGGGTACCTGTTGGGACTTGGGAACTGAGGCATTGGCTGCCTRGGGGAGTATTGATTGCTGGCAGTTGTTGGTGGGTAGGGAGGCTGGTATGCTGGACTTTGGCTTACACCTGAGTTAGACAACAATAAATAAGTTATAACAATTACAATAAAATTATAAAAATAATAACAGCAACAACAACAACAGCAACAACTGCAGCAGCAACAACAACAACAACAACAATAACTGCATCAACAACAACAATAACTAAAGCAACAACAACAACAACTACATCAACAAGAAGCAATATCATTTCATTAATGGGAATTTTACTAGATTCAATTTCGCATGAGTGGGAAATGGATGGTACTGCACTTAAGAAATATAAAACGGCGCGCGTGTCTCTGTCCTCTTATATAAACACGGTGGGAGTTCGAAAAACACGAGAGAAGCAAGCTTAGGAACACGAGAGTAGCAAGTGTTTCTCTTGCTTCTTGAGTTTTTTTAAACTCCCACCGTGTTTATATCAGAGGACAGAGACACAAGCGGCCGTTTTATATTTCTTTTATAAAATTTTTCGAGCGAAAAGAAAATTTTGCCGGTAAGCTGTGTCTCTGTCCTCTGATATAAACATGGTCATCAGCCAATCAGAGCGCACGTTATATATCAAAAATTTTATAATGTAACCTTAATGTACTGTAACCAATTCTAGTGTCTCATTGGTTCACAAAAATTGTGCAGGCCAGGTCCGGTAACTGTGCGGTAATTTCTACCGTATGTTTCCCACTCATACACTCTAATTTAATTTAGAGTAAGATGTTTAGCTATACTATCTTAATCTACTACTATACAATTCACAAATCCTGAAAATGGTATTTTGCATTTTTGCATATATAAAAATGGGTTCCTATAATGTCCTTACAGCAGTAGAGAATGATTTGTAAGACTTCCATCTCATTAACAGAAAACAATGGAATCATAATTAATTGTTATCAACCTACCAGGCATGGGCATGGGCATTCGGTGTGGTTGTGAGGGGTAGGGTGGGGTGCTTGATGTTGTGRGAGGGTATCCACCACCATACTGGGGCTGAAAACCTTGTTGTTGCTGTGGTGGTGGTGTATACCCTGGTTGTTTGGCATACACYGGTGGCTCCTCCGCAAAGATACAACATAGGATTTGAATGAGGGCAGCTATATCTGACTTGGGCTGGAAAACAAAGAATTTAATATTTTAATSCAGGACAATAATTAATATTAATAATTTAATGCACAGTTTATTGTAATAATGCAATTTATCGTATAATCTGAATTTTTGAAAGTTGACTTTCTTCATTTTGGAGGTAAATAAAAGTTATAATAATTTTAAAACATAATTTGCTTTTATTGATAATTATATAATAAACAGAATATTAGATGGTATCTTGGAGATATGAATTTTGTCCTGTGTTCAAAATCTCTTGAATTGAAGATAAGATGCATATCTCCATGCGCCCATGCAATATCCTCTATATGTACATGTATTCAGGTTGACCTAATGCCACATAGAATMAAGATAGAGGTAGGAAAGTCGCTAAGAAGAGAAATAGATGAGAAGGCACCATTTCAGAAAGACAGTGTATGTTTATCACTCTAATATCAAGTTCATAAATAATTGACAAGGTAAACACAATGAATAATCATTGCCTGCGACTGCATCTTAAAATGAGCAAGAGATTTGTCCTGATTTGCATACAGATTTGACTTCTTATTGCTTTATCAATATACACTTCACTTCTGTAACTTGTGCAAGAGCAAACTATAGATTAACGTTAGAGCACAGGAAAATCATGAAATATAATAATACTAAATACTAACTTAAATAGCAGCTATTTAGGGACAAATTGTCCAGGTATCAATGACCCAGAAGGCAAMAAAGATGAATAAAAAATGGTCCTATGTGGATCCATCTTCATTGCATTCTGGTTCATTGATACTAGCTGCTACTTGTTAGTATTTAGTTTGGTTTTATTTCATGGTTTTCCTGCGTTTACTCTAATCTTTATTGCTAAAAGCTTGACTTACATGAGCCCATTCTGACAAATAAGGCAAGAACACTCTACCAGTATTATCAACATGCTTGGAGACYTTGATAGCCATTGTGTTAGTAGGACGGACATAAACCATTGGTGGAATGAAGGGGTGTCTTTCTTGTAGAAATAAACAGATTGGAATATTGTACGTTGAGCCTAATTAAAAGAAACATCAAAGTTAACAAAACCTAGAATGTAAAAATTATGAAATAAAGATTACTTTTAAAAGGAAATATGAGTTAAAATAAAATAGAATATAGAAAAAATCACAAATACTTTATTAAAAAGGTGTTTTGGTAATGTAGTTTTCTAGTAATTTTGAAATTTGAATTCAAAATCAAGTCATAATAGATTTTTAGTATTATGAGTTTATTAATATATTGTAAATACCTCTAAAATTAACAGGAATTGTTCCTTCCAGAGCAAATAAATCCATCCGCCTTCCATCATTATGGACTACATTAAGGAAAAGCAAAGCAAAACAAAAATCAATTCACTACAATTCTGGAAATTATTTATATCGACTATTAAAATAATTATGAAAGAACATGCAATGTAAATTCTTGTGCCATGTTCCACYGCTATCCCTTTTGAGCTTGCTCCTCATTTACAATAAATRAAAATCTACAATATGAACACATTGCATGCTGGTTGCCAATGGCCCTTTGATGTTTACAGGTATAGACTTAGTAGAATGGGTAGTTGATGCCATTGAAACTAAACAGGATCAGCAACACTGTTAAAATATCCTAATTTTCTAAAATATTGAAAATATATTATAACGTTCCCTTCTTCCAGAGTCTCTCTTGCTGTAGTTCCCAAAAAGATCTCTCATTTACTTATCAAAAATTTCAAGGCGAGAGAGATTCAGCTAAAAGGGAATTAAGATAAGTTTTCTCTTACCAAAATTTTGAGTAGAAGGTCTCAAATCCTTGTATGCATTGATAGCTGGTAAGATTTGCCTCTTACAGAGATCCTTATGCTGATACTTTAATATGAAAAGAAAAAGGAAAACTGAGACAATGCATGATGATGCCGAGATTATACAGACTTTTGAATCTTTTACATGAATGTCACTGCACTTGATTTTCA